GGAAGTGCTGACTACCTAAACGGGCCAAATGCAACCATTACATCTGCAAGATCACCAAAATTCTATGGAAAGCACTCACTAGATAACTATTCAGATCAAAGTGGATATTGGTCAAGGAGAAGAACACATTAGTGCATGCTTACTGAGAAGCGCTGTTGCAAATAGTAAATTAGATAAATAGATAACTTATGTAAGATGAAGACAGACTTTAATAGGTTAAAAAGTTAATCTTTGGTTCCTAATGGTATCTTTGATGCGTTTCTTATTAATACAGAAGGAACACTGGTGAGCAAAATATGAAGTGCTACATTGTATATGTAGAAATAAGAAGATCTGGTATGAGTGCCAATGAGACAACTCTCCATCCAAGTCACAATGTGTAAAAAGTAAACAATTATACGTCAAAGTACGGCCTTCAAAACGGATCCTTGGCTCACACCGAACAGGAAGCTTTAAAGGGCCCCAAAATGACTAGTGTAAAACAATTCAAACAGGAAAACCAACGGTCTAATCTAAATAAAAAACGAGAAACGAGAAGCACTTAAGAACCACATCAACAAACGACAACCACTGAAACAGGTTCCTGACTTAGAACAGGTGAAAACAAATGCAGCGGGTTTAAACGTTTTAACAGGCGCCAACCTTCACCCTAACCTGAAATAGTAGTGTAACATTACAACATAGAAAGACACACTATAAAATATCAATTGAAATGACTTAACTCAATCAAAAAGACATCTTAACAAAAAAAAGTAAACATACACCGAACGAATAAATTTAATGTATGGTAACAGTTTAGTAAAAGTATTACGTGGCTCTACTTTTTAATTATGTTAAATAACAATAATAATCAACAATGACCAGTCAATTTTCAAACAAAATCGTGTCTTATGTTTGTATGTAATTGACTATAACATCATATATCCTTGTTTAACAGGAAAATAATTCATGTTTAGAAAATAAAAAAAATCTCAATAACATTATTGTCTTTGTTATCAGAACATATTTTGCGGATAATACTTTTTTTATGTATAAACATTTGCCAAATATACATCTATCTCTTTAAAAGCGTTTTTCACTTATCATGTTTACCCGAACTTTACTTTAAAATCAATCCTTGGAACACTACAAGTTCGGTATATCTGTATCTCCGATCATTGTTCTCCTGTTAGTCAGCGTATTATTACACATTGTCTAAGAACTTTAATCAATATCTCTAAAATTTGTGTCTCGTTCATTAAAGAAACTTATAACACTGGGAGAAAAAATCCAAATAATTTCCGATTGTTGTTTGTGTTTTGTTTAATAACTGCATTGATATTAATTGCAAATTTTTGATTACTGAATGCTCTATTACAGCTAGGATCTACACAAAAGTTACCCAATAAATGAGTATGGTTTTATATACAAACTCCACTATTAGAATTTAAGATAAATCTAAAATCACTAAGAAGACAGCAAAACAAAAACAAAGCGGAAAGTAAAATAATAGAAATTAATTCGTGTTATTTCAGTATTTTTTTTTAGATTTGAGATAAAAGTTTCAATTGACCGACGATAACGATTTCTTTGTGTTTCGCATTCTTTTTACCCAGTCTTTGATCCTTTCGTATTCGTAGCCTTTACTGAATTTGACCACTAGGTGTGATGTTTGATGCAAAGCAGAATATGCTTACTCGTTATGAGCACCCGATAACCCTCATAGTTTTGCATGAATCTTGTATTCCCGAAAACGAAAATTCAAATTGTTCTTTAATTATGTAAGACCCTTTTTGTTTGTCGTACACCTGACTTGTAGATTTTATCTATTTCATCTTGAAGTCGGGCCTTTTCCTGAATAAAGATTGTTTTTCTTCTCCTATTATGAACATGGTTGAAAGTGGTCCAACTTGTACATTTTCACTTGGTACAGAACCTGTATTGCATAATTTTTTTTGATTTTCGATATTTCGTCTGAAAACGTTGAATTAATATCAAATACGACACTTTGATCATGAAACCACTACCCTCTTTTTATTTCTATTGACAAACTGTTTTTTTTTTTTATGTAAGTTTTTGTTATTTCACTGCTACATGTTCTATGCCTAATCCCCTGTCTCCACTTCCTTCACACCTACTTTTAAAAGGATAATTAAGCATTATTTACTATACATAGTGTGTGTTTTACTGACTGATGAAAGTGATTATTGTCATTTTGCTTAGTTTCTTCTGTTACATATTCTAACATCGGACTCGGACTTCTTTTATTCTGAGTTTTACTGTACGTATTGCTGTGTGTTTGTTTATTCTACATTGGCTAGAGGTATAGGGGGAGGGTTAAAACCCCGCCGAATTTTTGCGCCTGTCCCAAGTCAGTAACTTCTTGACTTTGTTAGTCTTCTCTGTTTTTTTTAATTTTGGTTCAATTATATGTTTCAGAGTTTATTCCCCGTTTCCATTCTCAATTTTATAGTTGTTAGCTTCTAAGTCATTTTGTCTCTTGTGGAGAGTTGTATCATTGCCAATCGAACCACATCTTCTTATTTAAGTCAGAATTATTGTAGAAATATATGTATTTGCAAATTTACAAAAGAAAACAATACATTATCTTCCATATGCGTATCACCTTTTTCTCTCCTTCATAAGAAACCTCTATATAGATGCCTTTTTACTTGTTTGTGGGTTGCTGTCTCATTAAATGGACTAACATCTTCTTTTGTTCATAGAAATGTTACATTACACAATACTTTATTAATTTGATGCACCAAATGAGCAATTCGAGCAAAACAGATTTTACATTTCCTTTTTCATGGGAATGTGACACTCAAGCCGAATCATAAAACATGGGAATACAATGGCCATGGTATATTAGAAAAATCCCTGTCCATATTTACTGTTTACTTTTTGGTCCAACGTTTATCTCTAGATCTTGATGTATCACTTTAGATAAGAAAATGCAATCTAAAACATTACTTTACTATAACAGTCCATTTGTCGCTACTGGTTCATGATTAGTACCTAAAAAAAGGCTGGCGTTCACAGAAATTTTTCGGAAATCACAAAAGTATCATCAATCTATCAAATAACAAGTTTCTTGTGACATATCGAATAAGACTTATCACCGAGTTTGTACTTACATAAGCAACACAACGGGTGCCACGTGTGGAGCAGGATCTGAGATCACCGCCGGTTTTTTGTGGGCTTTGTGTTGCTAAATCTTTAGATTTCTATATTGTGTTTTGTAAACTGTTGTTTGTCTTTTGGTCGTTCTTCGTTTTTTTTGCCATGGCATTGTCAGTTTGTTTTCGACTTATGGGTTTGATTATCTCTTTGATATCTTTTGCCTCTCTTTTTCAGATGTTTATAAGGTATTAATCTGTCAGATATCTGTATTTGAATTTTTTTTTTTAATTTTGTCTTACATAGTTTATTTGCATAACGCGTTCAAATTTCTTCAATTTAATGCAAAAAATGCCACATAAGCCTTACTTTGAAATCTTGTCACTAATAAATAAATATGAGCAAAAAATAAATATAGCTACAAGAGGTCAAGATCAAAGATGTTAGTGTGGGTAAAATATTTTTTTGGAGTAAGGCCTTGGCTTATATCTAATTTTTCTACATACCGTTGTATATGAAAAATGTCAATTCGACATGTTTATGATAGCATGGTGACATAACCAGTGACATTTCTGCATTAGAGTATCCATATTATATCATGCTATTCATTAACATACTTTTGAAAGGATTTAAAGAATTTTACTATGTTCGCAATTTAGGGGCCAAAAGAAGGGCTCTTATTATATCTCCTCTTTTAAATACTTAATATAAATATTGCGTACTTAAAGTTTTGTTCATCTCTTTTCATTACGGGTGTCCACGGGGTTTGTGTTGTTGTTTAATATCTGTGGCTTTCCATAGAGATTTTTTTGTATAAGTTTCTGAAATTCGATATGTGTTAAAAAATGAAATTTGTGTGCTTATGTGCACTTCTGTGTTGACATGAATCATCATTGATATTGTCATATTTATAAATTAAGTGTTCACTTAACTTTGAATTGTTCGAAATACTAAAACTTTTTTACTCCGGAAAAAGATTACCTTAGCTGTATTTGGCTTATGTAAACCTTTTCGAATTTTTAGCCCTCAATGCTCTTCTTCTTAATTTTATTTGGCCTTGTATCTTTTTTTTTTATTCAAGCATCACTGATGAGTCTTTTGTAGACAAAAAACGCGTGGGACGTACAAAATTATTAGCTTTGTATCTTTGATTTTAAACCAATGGATTGATGCCACTGCTGGTGGATGTTTCCTTCCCGTAGGTATCATCAGCCCAGTAATCAACACTTCTGTGTTTACACGAGTTATCATTGATATTGTCATATTTATAAATTAACTGTTTCCCCAAAAATAGATTACCTTAGCTGTATTTGGAAAAATCTTTCCGAATTTTTTGCCCTTGATGCTCTTCAGCTTCGAACTTTACATGTACATGTATTTGGCCTTTTAACTTTTTTTATTCGAGCGTCACTATCTCACTTCAATGAGTCTTTTGTAGACGAAACGCGCGTCTGTCGTACACGATTATAAGCCTGGTATTTTTGATGTTTTTTTAAAGAGGCAAAACTTAAGACACCAGAGTATTAATCAAAAACCCATAAGAGGAAGAAAAACAGACTATACCATAAAAATGAATAGACGGACAACAGTCTATAAAACACTAAATAGAAGACTAAAGGTTGAGAAACACGAACCCTCAGAAAAACAGGGGGATCTTAGGTGCTCAGTAAGGGTAAGCAGAATGTTTAGATAGTCAGTTGGTGTAATTTATTTACTTGGTAAATATCAGTTTTGTTGACTGTTTGTATCAGGTTGTATAAATCCATTGCACTCAACACAACCATTAAACAACATAATTTATATAACTATTTAAATATAATTATTATATTTATTATATGTGATAACACAATAATAAACATGCAGGAAACATAAATTTCAGAGAAGACGTAAGTGTCAGCAGATGAGATATATAATCCGTTTATTTATAAGTTAAAAATGAAAAAAACTATATAAAATGTATATCAAAAGCAATTTATTTAATTCATTTTGGACCTAGATTGTCATTACACAGTAAATATTAATGGCCATGTCGGTTTTGTTCTTCTTTTGTTGTTGTATAATAAATTATTTGTCGTATACACGCTCATATCAGAATATGAGAAACAAAAATAAACTTTAACACAAAATGTCATGTTCAATGATTGATATCAGTATTATCTATCAATCTGACTGTTTTTAGAACTTCATACAAATGCAGCAATGAGTCTATTTCCCATAAGTATTGGAGGATGGATAATCAACCCAGAACTTCATTAGGATGCAACATTTATGATATATGTTATCACATTGCATTCTTGCCATGTAATCTGAACCTTCTTCTTCGTAGTTATCATCACAGGAGAAGTCACAGCGACACTCAGCTTCATTTTCTGCTTGAGCGTTAACTGTACCTAAAAATATTAATATGAAAAATTAGTATCGTCATGTGGCGTGATAGGTTATTGTATCAATTACATAGCAATTATATGTTTTTGTCTGTCACTCTAGATTTCCTTGTGTCTTTTTGTCACGACAGCCAACACCACAAGTTAACTCAAATACAGACATTTCGGTTACCGTAACATAATTCACTTTCTTAGGCATTTTCATGTAAGGTCGTACGATGATCTATAAGTGCTTGCATCCTTGTCCGTTGCTCTTTGGAGTATTGTTATCTCATTGAAATTCATACTAAATATCTTAATTTTTAAATGTATGTTCGTAATTTTAGATATGGACACTTGAGTGCATATAGAATAAAGAGCTGCGCCATGAGCGCATGATACGCCCGTCGCTTTTTCAAAGAATAAAGTTTCATAACTCCTCAATGTTATATCAGAAATTTATAAAAAAAACTAAAGGGAGGTTATTTTAATAGATATAAACCAGTCACCAAAGTTACAAGAAAAATGCTCAAAGCACTTTTGAGTTATTGTCCGAAAACTTGAAAATCCCCCCTCTTTTATGAATAAAATCTCATAACTCGGAAACGTAAAATCTAAAATTTATAAAAATCGAAAGGGAGCTTACGTCAATAGATATAAACAATTCACCAAAGTTTCATGAAAACTGCTCAAAGCATTTTTGAGTAATTGTCCGAAAACTGGAAAATCCCCCTTTTTTGATGAATAAAACCCCATAACTCGGAAACGTCAAATCTAAAATTTATAAAAATAAAAAGGGAGCTCATGTCAATAGATATAAACAATTCACCAAAGTTTCATGCAAATTGGTAAAAGCGTTTTTGAGTTATTGTCCGACATGTTGACGACAGACGGACAGACGGACAGACGGATGGACGGACGGACAACGGTTTACCATAATACGTCCCGTAAACGGGCGTATAAAAATAACACTTTATACATTTATTGAGTCAAAGCACTTTTCAGTATTTACCTTCAGCAGAAACAGTCATACCCAAATCATCGAAAGCTAAGGATGTAAAACTACATAAACACGTAATGTGTTATACGACCAAAAGAGGGCATAAAAGAATAACCAAATCAATTAATTTTTTTTATAATAAATGTAACCATATCGAATGATTTGAAATTGTATTTAGTTGAATACGTAATTGTTTTATTAACCATGATTGACAAGTAAGTATTACAACGGTAAAGACATTTAGAAATTTAAAGAGGAATATTGAAATAACATTTTGGTCTTAGCAGTCAGTTCAATTCTGTCGAAATAGCTCAGAAACATCGCTGATGTATTATTGGCTTACAAGTATTCATGCAACCTTTAATTTGACATTTATCTGGAGATGGGCTACATGTATGCATTTCCTAAGTCTGTGCAGTTAGTAAAAAGAGAAGAATGTCAACATTGAAAAGTGAAACTAGTGAGCCACCACAAAGAACCATTTCTATGACTGATTTATGGCCCACAAAAAAATCATAATTATACAGGCGAAACTATGATTTACATATTTTTTTTCAAATCTAAAAGATGAAATCGAACAAATTTAGAAAATCGTCATTATACGACTGCACGTGCTTTTCTGTGTATTTATATTTACGTTTATGTTAGTATAGGGTCATATGACCATCGACAGTCTTCAGACATCATAGTGGTCAATTACAGTAGAGATCACTTCTAACCTCTCATCAAATCTGTCAGAATCTGTCAGGAGAACTGTTCTAGGACAGTATGTAGAACTGTCATCCTGACACCTTTTAGACAGTTCTAGCCAGAACAGTTCTAATCTAGAACTGATTTGGTCAGTTCTACCTAGAACTGATTTAGACAGTTCTACCTAGAACTGATCCTGACAGTTCTACCCTAGAACAGTTTTAGACAGTTCTATCTAGAACTGACCAAATCTTTGGTCAGTTCTATGACTAGAACAGTTCTACGGCTAGAACAGTTCTACGATTAGAACTGATTTGGTCAGTTCTTCGGCAAGAATTGATTTAGTCAGTTCTATCCATAGAACAGTTTTAATAACTCTTTGTCTTAAATATAAATAAGTCAAAAGAATATAATATATATTAAAAAATTCTCATCACAGCACTGTTTTAACATTTCTCTAACTGCAGTGACGTTATTTAGAACTGTTCTACAATCCTGACAGTTCTACCTAGAACTGATTTGGTCAGTTCTACCTAGAACTGATTCTGACAGTTCTACCTAGAACTTATTTGGTCAGTTCTACCTAGAACTGATTCTGACAGTTCTACCTAGAACTGATTTGGTCAGTTCTACCTAGAACAGGTAGAACTGATCCTGACAGTTCTACCTAGAACTGATTCTGACAGTTCTACTTAGAACAGTTCTAGGGTAGAACTAATCTAGGTAGAACTGTTCTAGGACAGTTTAGAACAGTTCTATGAGAGATTATTCTGACAGTTCTAATGAGAGATTAGAAGTGATCTCCACTGTAGATGGCGTCCAGTATAAAATATGCAGATATGCCGATACATTTTGCTTTTTAATTGTTTCTATTGATTTTTTTTTGTAATTTAGATATACGTTTTAGAATGTTTTAAATCAATTAAAAGAATTTGAGTAAACTTGGGTAACATCAGGTTGGCAGAAATAAAATGGTGAAATCCAGTTATTTAAAAGTAAAGTTATGTTTGTGAACTTGCAGTTATTTGTGTCATATTCTTATTTGTCATGTAGAAAGCTTTTGCTTATTTCTTATGTGCCCTTATGTTGTCAAAATAAAAGAATCAGAAAAAACAATCAATTAATAAAAAAAAAATTTGAGAACTTGAAATTGCCTTTAATGACACACCATCATATGTTGTAATTCATTAGATATGATAAATTGCATAGCCTGTCTGGTTAATATCCGATAAAATTTAAAATGCTTGTTCTTCTCACCTCGTCAAATATATATGTCTCTCTGCAATGACTTTTGTGTAAATTTTATACATTTACACATGTTATTCTATATTATATATGTACCATTAAGATTTATGATATGAAATACTTGTGACATTAAGTAAGTCTTCGTTTTTCATTATATGATATAGAATTGTTTTGAACAGCCCGTTGTAAAAAAAAGTTATTTATTATAGCTCACATGAAACTGTCCTTGCGTAGTTTAGACAGGACAACTTTCATTCTATTTTTTTAAGCGTTTTGGTTGTTTTTAAATGTAATTTCAATTAGGCGCAAGTCATTTAATTGATAAATTCAAATCTTCTATAGTGGACATTTGTGCGCCGTTGTTGTAGGCCATTTTGTGCCAAATATAAGCGTTCACCTGTATAATGAGAGTGTGGATGGGGTTTACAGAATAGAGAATAATGAAAAAAAAGAAAGAATAGAGAAAAATAAGTTAAAAAAAATAAAGAATAGAGAATAATGGGGTGCTAAAATATAAAAGAATAACTGCAAAAATTAAAGAATTGGGTAAAAATATACTGATTACAGAAAAGAACAATGTCCAGAATACAGTTATCAAGTAATTACAGAATAGCCATTATTTTTAAAAGATAACGAATAATGAGCGAAAAAAATTAAAGACTACAGAAATGAATGACCCCCCATTTCCCCCTCCCCCACAAATCCATTTCCTCTATTACCGATAGCCAAGCTGAACAGAAGAAAAAAATATACTTCGCCATGCCAAAACCATGAACAGTAATTTATGCAGGTTTGACTTTAAAGTTGTGCCTCCATCGAATCGATTGAAGGCAGTGTTGCATGATTTGAGTTTTCTTATTCTTATAAACAATTACATTTTCAGCGTAAAAGTTCATTATCTAGTACAACCAATATGCGGATATGACACGATACACTCTTGTTCATCGTTAAACTTTACTTGCAGTCTTTTTGTAACAAATGAACATACTAAATGCACTTTATGGACAAAGAAGGTAATAGTTCATAAATAAATGTTGATCCAATTCTCTCGAGATGATACAGATATGAACGCAAACCTCGATGGAAAGAGGAGGGATTTATTGACTTGATTGATTGATTGATTGATTGATTGATTGGTGTTTAACGCCACTTTCGGCACTATTGTGCTTTTTCGTGGGTGTCAGTTTTTATTGGTGGAGGAAGACGGAGTGCCCGGAGAGAACCACTGACCTTCGGTTTGAAAACTGACAATCATATTAATTTAAGATAGGAATCGAGCGCACCTACCACGTGCGGGATTCGAACTCACAACCTCATTGTTGACAGGCTATTCGACTACTTGGACCACTCGGCCACAGAGATCCCTAGGGGGGACTGACTGTAAAATTTCATCATCAGGATTTAAAAAAAAATTTCCTGATGTTCGCAGAAGAATTGGTTTTATCAAACTTCTTATGTCCTTTCCAATCTTTTTGGCGTCCCAAATGGACTTGGAATCGTACTTTAAGTATTCCTTGATCAAAATACCGATATAACCGAGATCGAGAGCTAGATTAAATCTGAATTATTAACCAAAGATTAAAAAAAGATTAAATTTAACGACTTGGTGTAAAACAGATAATATTAAACCCGTGGTTCCGATATTTAGTCTAAGGTAAAAATTTAACGAAAAGCGGAAAAAAAAAACACTAATGAAGGAATCGAGTAAATGGTTGTCTTTTTTCGCTATTTTTTTTGTTTCAGTGACTGTCTTATTTTCTTTCCTGATATTGTTACTTTCTGTCCACATTTGCCGTGACAGTCGTGAAATTGGAACAGGCTTGTGACCCAACTAGATGACCTTTACCAGCTTATTTTTTTATTTTTGCTTTAGGGATAAAGTTGCTCATTGATGTAATTAAAAGTTCTTTTGATTGATTTGGTTTTAGTACAATTTTATTTTCGGGGCAAATATGACAAAAAAGGTCTACATCAATGTTAGATGCACACAATTATAATTTGTGGTAAAGTTAATAAATTTATTACAAAATTAGACGCAAATAAAACTCAGGATAAAGACATAAATTATAAAAAGTCATACATAAATTACATCAAACAATTTAACATGGTAAACTGATGTAAAATATAACTGATATATGCATATACATGTATATAGAAAAATATTACATCTTGCCAAAAATGTTTTGTTTCTAACATGAAATTGACCATTTGGACTTAATAATATATGCCGAAAGTAACATCCTGCATAAAATGCTGCCTATTTTTAAAGTCCGTGTCAAAAATATTTTGAAATTCAGAAATTTTGAAGAGAAACTTCAAAACTGTCATTTTACTTTTAAAGTAATATGAAACGAGTTTCTTGTAAATTATTGAACCAATGCATGCATATTATATACTAAACTAAAGTCCTGTATGCACGTTTTTTACCTTTATTACAAACCCATAACGTATAATAGACAAAAATATTATTCAGTGATTATTGATCGCAAAGTAATTAATTTTCGGTTTTGCTGCCGAAGTTTATTGGTCTGTGACTTTTATAACCAATCAACACAAAATGAAGGAGCACGTGGAAACTTAGTGAGTTGATAGAACGATGTTATTTTTTTTATATTTTCAATGCGTTTCTATTTGTTATACTTTGCCAAAACAGTTGTTCAATGATACGGTGAATTCAATTGTTTTTTTAAAACTCATTTAACACTGTTTGCCTTCCAGTGCACGTTTGTTTACATTCTTTTAATCACGGGTTTCCCTTGCACTTGCTGCGTCGTGTGGTTGCCGAAGTCCTAACGAGAGGTACCGTGGTAAAGGTAACTGCATACGGAAAAGCTATCGACGAACTAAATACGCGAAGACAATAATTCAATAGAAGTACATTTCTGAAGATTATGATAAGAAAAGGGATTTTCTTTTACAAGAAAGTCCATTTACACTAAAATAGTCTTGCTTTATAGTTAAACTTAGCCATTCAAGTATATAAAACATATTCAACTTTTTTTTTAAATTTGAAGTCCGACTTTAACTTCAACATGAATATGTATGCACATTATAAGAGAAAGCAAAACTATAGCTTTATGATTGAATATAAACATCGAAGGTTTGCACGGATGTTAACACCTAAAGCAAATTTGCAAATTCTTATCTTGGCGGGTTCTTTCTTTTATTTTAGAGCGACTTTTGTCTATAAAAGCTATATGAGATAAGGAAATATTGCGTCCAGTTTCTCGAAAAAAAAGGAACAGTCACTTGTGACTTTGAAACTCAATTTTAAGTTTGTTTTTTTTCAAAACCTTAATATGCTTTAAATTTGAGTATCTATCTACTCTCATTGATTTAAAAAAATCATTTTGTACATAATAACAACAGTAGTTTTTGCTTTTCCAGTAACATAAAGCTTCTTACGCTTCATTATTCAATTATTGTATTCATGTTTTCTCGTATTCTTATATATATAAATAATTAATTTATTACAAAATTAGATGCAAATAAAACTCAGGATCAAGGCATAAATTATAAATGGTCATACATAAAGTACATCACACAATTTAAAATGATAAATTGATGTAATATATATATATATATATTCTTTATTGCCTCCAGAAGGAGAGTGTAAATAATAAACACAAAATTAAACAATTGAACAAAATAGGCAAATTAAATCAGAAATGTCATGATCAGTTGAAATGAGTAATTGTCAGTAACGGATATAACAGTTATTCTAATCTTGTAGTAAAGTTCCAAATTTATAGATTCCTAAATCGAACGCATATGGCTTGGAATGTCTCTAGTTGGTCGGTTTCTAGTGGGAAGTTGTCCGAATTGCAGGAAAGTAAGTAATAAAAAAGTTCTCCATCAGACATGTTTGCTAGGAAGATACTGAAAGTTGTTGGATTGATATTAATGATTTCACACCAAAACTAATAATAAACGAGTTTCTTGTAAATTATTGAACCAATGAATAAAATTGAGAATGGAAATGGGGAATGTGTCAAAGAGACAACAACCCGACCGAAGAGCAGAAAACGGCCGAAGCCACCAATGGGTCTAATCCGATGCATATTATATAATATTACATATGGTGTAGCATTCTCCTTTTTCATTGGATATTACGACCACGTCTTTCAAATAATAGTATCTGAAGCCTTGTTTCTATTTTAAAGTATATTGACGCTATGTTTCTATTTATACGTATATTGACGGTCAATATTAAAAATCTGTGACGTCACACATACAACAATAATGGCGGAATTTCCGCAGAGTACGAAAAGAAAATTTGAAAGTAAACTGAAATGAGTTCCATTTGAATTCTTATTTGTTCTAAACAGAAAAAAAATGTTGTGTTTTTGTTTGCAATAAAACAAGTTAATCTTATTTATAGATATTTTCAATAGCATGTTAAAAATCTTGCAAAATGAAATTTAAAAAAACACATAAAGAACATTGAAGTCCATTTTTCTAATACATTATTTAAATATGTAATAAAACGTAATTAATTTTCGATTTTGCTGCCGAAGTTTATTGGTCTGTGTCTTTTATCACCAATCAACACAGAATGAAGGAACACGTGGAAACTTAGTGAGTTGATAGAACGATGTTATTTTTTAAGTTTGTTTTTTTTCAAAACCCTAATATGCTTAAAATTTTAGTATCTATCTACTCTCATTGATTTAAAAAAAATCATTTTAAACATAATAATTGAAAACAGTAGTTTTTGCTTTTCCAGTAACATAAAGCTTCTTACGCTTTATTATTCAATTATTGTATTCATGTTTTTCTCTTATTCTAATAAATATATGAAATGATGTTAAAGTAGTTTGACATCGGATTAAACATGTATAATTATATACGTTACTCAATACTTCTTTAATATTTAATTTAAAAGGAAATGTCACTTAAATTCTTCAACCGAATATAAAATTATGTCCGAATTTGGCGTGCTGGCATCCCTAATTTAACATATCCCCTCCTCTTTCCAATACAAATTTGCCGAACATCGACCACTTTGTAGAACCTACATGTATGTATTTATGTATTTGACGCACAAATGTTTTACTTGTTTTCGTCTTGAATATGGATGAAATATTTGATATTAAGCGAATAACAATCTTTTTGTTATTTATATTATTGATATTCAGTATTTAACACTGTATGTAATTGCTGAAGATATTTTATATACTTAATATACTTACAAGCAAACATGAAAACTAAAGCCACAATCAAAAAAGATAATTGAAGATAGGTCTTCATATCTGCTTGGTGTCTTCAACAAGAAAGTCCTACAAAAATGAGATCACTTGTTAATTAGCTCCCCTGTATAAATAGGCACATAAGTCATGAGACAAAGATTTACCGAAGGTGTTTGATTAATATCTATAGATGACATACTTACAATTAATAAGACCCTTACCTATGTAAGGTTTACAATTATTTATGTCGTGTTTTGCTAACGATGTGGTTTTTGTTTACAGATACACATACATCATGATTTCTTGTAATTATGGTAATAATTTTGTAGTTTATGACAATTCGTGCAAAAATATAATGATATTAGTAAAAGGGAAAAAAAGATGGAAGTGATTTGTATGATAGCTTTTGGAAATCTCTTTGTTTACACAATCAATCCAAAAATCGTATTCTTCACTGTTGCTGTATATGTTTCCTAAAGTGAGGCATCTTTAAAACAACAAAAACTTTACAGATTATTTTAATTCCATCTGGGGGTAGTCTTGTCCGAAAAGGTTTTTTTCTTCAGCATTTCATTTTCAAGATGTTGGTGTGATTCAGTTATCTTTTTACTTAAACAGAGGCAGACGATAGCAAATTGAGAATTAAAACTCGTGTCGAAAAGAGACCGACAAAGTCATGACAAATACGAAAAACTAAGAAAAGACAAACAACAGTCAATAAAATACTACATAAAAAACTAAAGACTGAGCAACACTAACCCCAAACTCCGAAACAGTGGCGACGTTGCTTCACTAAACTATCAAAGTCAACGTAGTGTAGCAAGGAAGACGTTACCACTGTTTCGGAGTTTGCACAAATCCCACCAAAAAACCTGATATGATTTCATGTGCTCCAAAAAATTGTTAGGTCTCATTCGATGATGTCACATTTGAGAAAAAAAGTGCGGGAGAATGGCAACGACAGTTCGAACATATTCGTGGTCATCTGCGGCACAGATATTCCATAACGGCCAACCAACTCATGATGGCGAGACGCGATGACTTCAACCTACATCACTTCGAATCCTTGGTTCAATAGCTTTCTTGTAACAGTAATCATCCAACAAGCAAAGCATGATATGGTACACAAGCTCTGGAATATCGTATCAACCGCGAGATATATACTTCATATGCTACATATGCAGAATTTTGTTGCATAGAAATGGAAAAATCACAATTGGAAAGCCAAAATCATCTCTTTGGTCGTAAAGTTTTGTTCTCAACCGATCCTGATTGTCAACTTCATGTAAGTTGGGATATGAGGCAGACTGAAATGTTTCTGTGGTATCTGTTGTTTCAAGTTCGATGGAATCGATTAATTCAACATAGTCACCAAATTTTTAATTATTTAGTGGGAGAGCCCCATCTATATAGCGGAACGAAGGATAATGACAGGTTCTTTTCGTTCTTCGTGCGCAGCTACCGTATGAAGTAGACGAGCACCGTTGGTTCCCATTGGAAAGCATGTTTATAAAACACGCCCTCAAAACGTAATAATTATATTGTCAATAAAATAAGTTCCGGCATCTTGAGTTTGGAATAATTTTACACAATCCCTTGAATGATATTCAGCGCTATAAATTGTTGCACAAGACAGTTTTGACACAATATATTGAATATTTTACATGTTTTTTTTTTAATTTTGCAACGAGGGGCATCATTGACCAGCAGGAATTGATTTGTATCTGAAACTCAAAGCATATAGCTATACTTCCATTTTGTAAAGAATGCCATTCTTATTCATTCTTTGCGAAAATAAATCAATTTCTCAAAGTCTACCAAATTTTTAGACATGTTCTGAAATACGCCATAGTGTTGTTGGAATCCCAAAATAAAAATAGATATAATGTGAATGATATAGTAAAGATTAGAAGATGTTTTAAAAACTGGAGTGAAATGAATTAAGGGGAAATTGGCATAATCTCTTTAAATATTGCAAAATCAGGAGCCTGTAATTTAGTTGTTGTCGTTTGTTGCTGTATATCATATTTGTTTTTCGTTTATTGTTTTGTTCATAAATCAGGCCGTTAGTTTTCTCGTTTGAATTACATTTGTCATTTCAGGGCCTTTAAAGCTTACTATGCGGTAGGGGTTTTTGCTCATTGATGAAGGCCGTACAGTGATCTATAGTTGTTAACTTCTACGTCATTTGGTCTCTGGTGGAGAGTTGTCTCATTGGCAACCATACCACATCTTCTTATATTTTTATAATAATATTTGGGCATAAGTTGCAATATTGAGATGACGCATGTTTTTGTCGGTCAAACTGTTCTAGTGGACCTTCATAAACAAATATTTTACTGTCGTCATTATTGTGACCATAAAGCATTTATTATCCTCATAAGTACAGATGATTAAATTAGTGGTCACTTAATATCGTTTATAACATGCTAAAACTATGGCTTTGATTGATTTATGTGTGAGGAAGAAGGAAGTTTACATGTGGACATAAAGCTGTCATGGTAAATATATGAATTAGCCAATCGCTGTTTAGTATGCATATACGCACAGTTTACGTAAAAATGTATTGCGGTGCATTGCAAACCTGACATGCAGTTAATAGAATAGTATTTTTCTATACAGTGGGATAACCGGTGATTCGAGATGTACAAATATATAGAAAAATCACTTTACTTCTCGTGTTTGAGGGGTCGATCGGGTTACTTAGGTAACCGCACAGAAATTAAAACAGGTGTGAATTAAAGAATTGCGGAAATATTGGTAGTACTCCCAACTGTCCGTCGTAGCGTTTTTTAATTTATCGAAATAACCAAAGAAGTGAGTAATTATGCTAAAAACCCGTTATATAGCTTGAGCTCTGACATTGAAAAAATAGTAAAATTATTCAACCCATTAATTAATTGATAAATAATCACATAACATTGATGTTTTATAGGCTTTTTGCCATTTAATATGCAGGAATTAATCACGGGGTGTTTTAAAGCGTGATGCCAAATTATTTCCCAATAAAAACCGCAACACTCCTTGACCGCAACGATTCGTCTGTGATGTAAGTTTCAGTCAAATAATCGGCAAACTCTATAAAACTGAAGGCTTGTTGTTAGGTAAAACGGTCATGGAAACCTCGACAAAATAGTCTGCTACTTCCTCTGGAGCTAAGAAAGCTATCCAAAACACTTATTTCAGCCATTTACTAGTACCTGAATTTACCTCTTTGTATTGTTGACTTAATCCAACTTTCTGAATTTTTCGCCACCAAGCTTGGCCTAAGTGAAACCTACAGCATTTGGTCTCAATTGACGGGGAAAAAATATTATTTACAGAACCGGTCGAATTACTCGGGTGTAAAATCAAATAAAATATATTTATTTTAAACCTTAATTTTTTTCTGACTTTTTAAAAATATTTTCTTAATTCATATAAAAGTGTCACAGGAAATTTCGCTAAAACGTCGTCCTATTTGAAAATCCATGTAAGATAAATATTACGGCGCTAAAATGTCCTATGATGTCGGCGCTCAAATGACACTATGTGCATTTTTTATTTTCGCTCAAATATCCTATGCCCATACAACACCATTTTCTCACATTTATGCAAATTACGTTTTAAAAAATCGCAATTGAAAAAGTAATTTCATATTATATCTATTGCTAATATAAACAATTGCTACAAATATGTAGCAATAAATCATTACCTGATGATATATATGCATAATTGCTTACATTCACTTCATTTGCACTTTGATGGATAGTTGTCTTATTGGCAATCATACCACATCTCCTTATTTTTATATAATAATTAAGAAAAAATGGAGAATGTTAAAAAAAACCATTACATTATATCTACTTTGAAATTGACACCTCACCGCGAAAAATTTTCAGCTGTATGACGCACAATTGGTTGCACGGGGATTGATTTTATTTTCATCTCACTATACAATTTCATACGAAGTTTTGTGTTTAGTTTTATTTTAGATTTCCAATGAGACAACTATCCACCAAAGTTCAAATAAAGTGGATGTAAGCAATTATAGGCAACCGTACGGCCTTCAACAATGAGAAAAACCCATACCGTATAGTCGGCTATAAAAGACCCAGACATGAAAAATATGAAACAATTCAATTGAGAAAACTAACGGCCTGATTTATAACAAAACAATTAACTTGACGAAAAACAAGTATGACAGACATGATACAACGACATGCCTTGAAAATTGAAACCTTACGAAATGAACCGCTTTGTTTGCATCAGTATCAATTATTTGTTTCTGCTCCTTACACAAATACGTGCAAACCGGGTCCTTTCCTGACATGTAATTTTTCTATTTGTTTCTGTGCCTCACACAAAAACGTGTAAGCGGGGCCCTTTCCTGACATGTAATTTTTCTATTTGTTTCTGTGCCTCACACAAAACGTTTAAGCGGGGCTATTTCCTGACCTGTAATTTTTCTATTTGTTTCTGTGCCTCACACAAAACGTTTAAGCGGGGCTATTTCCTGACCTGTAATTTTTCTAGTTTACTGTCATTAACATCTTTGTAGTAAACAACATTTTGAGTTATTCTGTGGTCTAAATTGTAAAAAAGATTATGACAAAACCTCGAAAAGTATCTGTATTTGTTGTTGTTGTTTCAGGTTTGTATTAAATACAAGAAATTTAAAGACCTAGTTACATAGAAAAATCATTCAAAAATATAAATACTGATATCTGACATAGCCAGAAATGACAACTGAAATTTTTAATTACCATATAATTTTCGAAATCAATTTAGAAAAAGTGGATTTTTTACCCTATTTTTAGTAACCGTATTTATTCGATTTCTTCAGGTTCTTCAGCGTTCCTGAGATTCAAAAGGTAATTCAAGAAAAACGCTTCGAACACAAGAAATTGTTAAAATGTTATTTTAATTGTGAAACCAATTCATTTATTCAGAGGTCAAAAGTGTTTCGCCATTTGATAGTTATGCTAAAATATATCTTATACAAAAATATATTTTTAATAAAGATTCTACAGAAGATATTTATTGTCCGAATTGAATGAATTTTTGTTCATTAAATACAGAAATTCTGCAGTTTCTTGTAATAATTATGATCTATATTTATGATTTATATTTTTAAGAAAATCACGGTTGGAGACAAATATCAATATTTGCACGAAGAAATCATATGGCAATGTACGTAAAAAATATCACTCCAATTTTATATTTGTAAACAAATAATGATTTCTCAGTAATGACATGTCATAAAAATATGTCACAATAACCATTAAAAACTGTACACATTTATGTA